CGGGATCGGACCACTGTAGTACAACGCATCCACTGCCGTCTCGTCCACCCCCTTGCGCATTGAATATTCTCAGAAATTAGCAAGCAGCCGCAAGGAAAGATGGGAGACGCTAGCAACTCGACGCTGGGCGCTTCTGTGCTGCACTGAAGATATGTCCTATGTTCTTCCGGGCGGGAGGATGGATGTCTTTAGGAGGTACGTGCTGCATCGCAATCTGGTGCGCCCGTGTCGTTTACGCCCCCTTCACATAACGACTCACGTTAAGTTCATCCGTGAAATCCCTATTCTGGCGCACTATGAGATGCACATGAGTATGACAGCATTGGACAATAAATGGGTGCGTAGAAGTCATGCCTACGAGGTTGCTAAAACTGACTGCGTATCACACGCTAGTTGTACACCGTCATTCGCTTTGTAACCACGAAAAAGTCCAAGTCGAAGAAGCCACAAGCGAGTGCGAGCGTGGCGTCCCGGGAGAAGCTGATTCCCTCCAGAGATGACGCATCTTTCCCGCAACTGCACACTCCGGGGACGCCCTCCGGTATATCGACGCCTGCACTCAACGATGACGCCGCGCTGTCGAACCCTGCCAAGCGCATTGCCCAAAGAACCAGACGGTGCAACCTGCACTGCATCTCTGTGTGCAAGCTGTGCTTCAAGGTTGGGTGGATCATGGTTTCGCCTGCTGTTGTCCTCGTGCTTGAGGACTTCACACAAGGCTAATTAGTAAATATATTTAGCTGACAGAGGCACAAAAATGACCATGAAAAAAGAAGCTATAGGCTGCATTGCAGGTTAGGAAATGCCCAGGGATGGGCACCTATACACAGGTATGCTCTCTCTTGCTAGCGCCCACCTCAGTATCGCGCTCTGTGCTCCATTCTGGATGGAGGTGGCACAACAGGCCCCCAGTTAGGGTTGGGGGGAGCTGAGCCGAGCGAAGTGAGGCGAGGTGACATTGCTGAGGTGAGACTAGAATGCGAAGGTCCGAACACTTGGACGTGTTCCGGATGCTTTCGTGGTGACACTCATCAGCGCATTCCAAGAAGTACTTATACCTTGTGCCATGGGACCCCGAAGGAGGGGCAGTACCATGGGCTGAAGCCGAAGCTGTCGGACGGGTGCGTAATGGGCATTATAACTATCCGCGTTGTGATTGGCCGGCCCTCGGCGAAATCGGCGGATGGAGTCATTCTAACCTTGTAAGAGGCTCGGGCATACTATATGGGAATGGTCAGCAGGACCACTTTGATGCGACTTAAGACCAGTTAGCGCGGTCAAAAGATGACGTAGTTATGACATCACGTCACGTGGTGGATCCAGACCATCAGGGGACCACCTGCTAATGGCCGTAAGGCGCATCACTGACGTCGGCCCGACGTTCATGGGGCGGGATGATCCGCCATCACCGCCCGCTGCCATCAGGCGCATCAGATGCGCCTGATAGCCGCCGGAATGATAAGCGCCTCGGTCGGCGCTATTTCTGGGTCACGTGATTTAGACGCTTTCTTACCACGATCACGTGGTTGTACTTCAGGCGCCGTTAGGCACTCGCATCTATCTCGGATATAGTATTTAGGGTTATGAGCACTGGTAGGGGTTGGTAGGGGTCATTTCAAGCGCCGACCCCTGCCCTTGACGCTGGCTGCTATCGCTTGACGCTGGCTGCTACCGCTTGACACTGGCTGCTACCGCTTGACACTCGCTTCTGACGCAGTGCGTGGCTGCCAGTGGCAACTGCATGTGTGCAGAGAGCCGGCCAAGTACATCAGAGTGGCTGTGGTCAGCATGCTTCAGAGAGTGACTGCCAGTGGCGACTGCGTATTTAGTGGGGAAGCAGCAGAGTAGTTGTGGTCAAACCTTGCCAGCGATATGCAGATGCCAGTGGCGACCGCATGTTGGCAGGGAGACATTAAAGTACCTTTGGTCATAACCTTGCAAATTGGTTAAGGTGTCTAGTGGCGAACATATATGAGTGAAATTAGTCGAGCAGCATTAGCCAATCTTACGCTCTATATGGCTGCCAATGGCGACCACATAAGTGTATTGTTGTTGTTTGTGGAAAGACAGCACAAACAGCTTTGGTCAACCTGGCGGGCTGCATGTGGCCGCCAGTGGCGACTGCACATTTGCAGGAAGAAGTTAAAGTGTCTTTGATCATAGCCTTCTACACTGCATAAGGTGACCAGTGGCGACCACATACAGGCGGAACGAGCGATGTAGTATTAGCCAATCTTGCAATCTACACATGCCGGTGGCCTAATCACGAAGATATCAATCATTCTACTCTTCTTTTGGAGGGGGGTTGGTGGTTAAAATGTGGGTTGTGTGATTAAAAATCTGCAAGCACTGTGAAAAGAGTAAAATGCACTCTGTAGAGCACTTTCAGATGTAAATACTGTCAAATGGCAATATTCAGTGGCCAACAAGAAAAATACCCGATCGCGCAGCGGCGCGCGATCAGGAAAGACATCATATTGTAGATACCCATATGAAGCAATACTGTGTAATGAAACAGTAATGTGTTAAAAACCCGATCGTGCAGCAGCGCGCGATCAGGAAAAACATCATATTGTAGACACTCATATAGAGCAATACCATGTGATGAAACAGTATTGTGTTAAAAACCCGATCGTGCAGCAGCGCGCGATCAGGAAAAACATCATATTGTAGACACTCATATGAGGCAATACCATGTGATAAAACAGTATTGTGTTAAAAACCCGATCGTGCAGCGGCGCGCGATCAGGAAAAACATCATATTGTAGACACTCATATAAAGCAATGCTGTGTGGTGAAACAGTATTGTGTTAATAACCCAATTGTGCAGTGGCATGCAATATCATGCGTCAAATTAAGTTGACGCCTAATAAAGGCAAACAGAGACAAATACTGGGCAGACAGCAAAGCATGAGTTACCCAGACAGGCCCTGATGGCCCTGATAGAAGCTACTAGACCCAGGCCTGCAAAATAGGAGCTACCGTTTGAAAAGAGAAAAAATTGGCATTTGGGCCCCTAAAAATCTGGTGCCCTGGAAAGAGTGGGCGAGACCTTTGGAGCAAGCCAGAACTGGGGCCAGAACACCTAGAAGCTATTCAGAAAGGCTTGGTATTTGTCAGGAATTTGTCAGAACTTAGCTAGGACAAATTCTACTCTTCTTTTAGAGGGGGGTTGGTGGTTAAAATGTGGGTTGTGTGATTAAAAATCTGCAAGCACTGTGAAAAGAGTCAAATGCACTCTGGAGAGCACTTTCGGATGTAAATACTGTCAAATGGCAATATTCAGTGACTCACAAGAAAAATCCCTGATCGCGCAGTGGCGTGCG